GGGGGGCTGGCCGGGGGGGGGAAGGGGGGGGGGGGGGGTCAATTGGGGAAAAAGGAGACATATGTAAAACTTTACACAATAAAAAAAATAGTTAAAAAAAGCAAAGTACAGTATAGGAAATATAGTCAATAATACTGTAATAACTATGTATGGTGCCAGGTGGGTACTTGAAATATCAGGTGGACAACTTTGTAAAGTATATGACTGTCTAGGCACTATGCTGTACACCTGAAACTAATACAAAATAATATTAAATGTAAAATGTAATTGGAAAAAAAAAGGATTATCCCCTTGGGGTACACAAGCAAGTGAGTTATAAACGCAGGAGATTTGGGTCAGATATTAAGTTATAATTTGTTTCTTCTGTTTGGAATGGTCATCTCCCCCTCTAGGCAAACATGACTTTTATCCGGAATCACATCCATCCTGGCCCCTGCTGTCTTCCAAAGACTCCCCATTACTACCACCTGAGTTTGTCACTATCTCATCCAATCATAAAGGCCCACCTCAAACTATCCCCACCTTGAAGCATTTATCCCGCCCTACTGGGGTCTCTCCTCCTGGTGACAGACCTCACCCAGTGTGTACTACTGACAGTATTCCCGTTACCACGTGTTAGTCACTGTTTTTCCTTTCTATACCTCTTTACTCAGTTGGGAAAAGGCATTGCTATAAACAATCTCTGGTCCTGCGGCAGTCCCCAGAACAGCACCAGGAACCGAGCAACCATTCCATAAATGCTAACAGGGATCTCAGGCTACTGGGCTTCCAAACCTCACCCGTCCTTTTAAGCAGGATTTCACCGAAATCAAACAAAAGCTCATAATCCCGGTTCGCAAAGGCCCCAGATATCTCCATCTGCCTCAAGAGTGGGCTCCAATTTCACACATTTAATTTTAATCCACTGTAACATTCGAAACACCGTCAGGCGTGCAACAGCGCTGGTAGGATGCGGGGATACAGGGCCTGTGCGAGGACCGAAAATCTGGATGCCACAACGTGAGAACAGCCACGTTCACTAGAAAACAATTTCCCTCACCGCTTACTGCAGGGCCAGAGAGGCCTGAGACAGGAGCCAGACCAAACGGCCACAGGAGAGGTGCCAAGAGAGCCAATTGGCACAGGGTTGTACCCACGGCCTGACCTCAGGCTGGCACCTACCTTCCTCCTCTCCACTTCCAGCTGCAGCGCCCGCAGCGGTGGTGGCCCCCGAGCCCGCCGCCATGGCTAGCACGGCTCCAGCTCCGCCCGAAACCCAAACGTGGAGTGGAGAGCGAGAGGGGTCCCAGCGGGGCCAAGGCTCTGGCTCTGCAACCCGCGCACAGAAAGGAATCCCAGCGGCTGCTACCGGCTCTTCCGGAAGCGCCGATCACGTGCAAGTCATGTGACCTGCGCTGGGCGGGGCCACGCAGGTTTGTTTTGATTCCACCGGAGCGGTAATGTAACCACGTGGTCTCGGTTGTGGTTCTTTTTGCCTTCCGCAGTTTTGTCCTTCTTTCTTTTTTAAAAATTTTGTTTTATTGCCTAAAGTATTACAAAGAGTATTACATATGTCTCCTTTTTTCCCCCTTGACATTCCCTCGGCCTCCCCTACCCCCCAGTGTCTTGTGTCCATTGGTTGTGCTTATATGCATGCATACAAGTCCTTAGGTTGATCTGTTACCCGCCCCCATCCCCTTCTTTCAATGCAGTCATTTCTTGGCTTCGTTTCTGCTTCTCCTCGTTTTCTAGTCAGATCCTTCCTTTCCGCCTTGGTGATTTCCTCTCTCCAATTATATTAGAGTTTTAGGGGATGTTTGCTTTTTTTTTTTTTGGTGGAGCTCGGAGCAGTGGAATGTGGCCCTGCGTCGGTTTACTCTGCTAACGCTCTTACCAGCCTTGGATACTAGATCGCACGCTTCTCCTCCTTTCCCTTCCCACCTGCTATGCCCTTCTGGCAGCAGCATGACTCCATTTGGTTTTCGTGGCTGCCGGGGAATATGAACCTCGATCAGATGTCCTTTAATTGTGTTCCCTGTGACTCATCTCCCCACCCAGTCACGCCAAATCGCTTAGGTTTTCAAGGGCACTAACCGGCAGCTGTGAGGCTTCTGGATTTGTATAGCAAAATAAACAACCGTCAGCTTGATCTAGAGATCAACAACCCCCACCCTTCTCGTTTACTCTTCCTCGGGTCAAAATCATAATTGGATATGGATCTGGGTCATTTGGGAACAAATCCTCCAGTGTAGGTTTTTTTCCCCTCAGCCGAGGATATATACTAGTAGAATTGATTTGAGAGAGAGAAGAGATTGGTGAGAGAGAGAGAGAAAAGAAAAGAAAGAAAGAAAGAAAGGAAGAAAGAAAGAAAGAGAATATCTGTTTCCTCCAGTAAGCTCCCAGAACCTGGATGAACCTGCAACATGTGCCCTGACAGAATGGAACCCGCAACCTTTTGGTATACAGAAGGACCCTCCAACCAAATTGGCCGCCGGGCCAGGGCACAAATCTTCCAGTTTAATGAACATATCTTTTTTTAAAATATATTTTTATTTATTTCAGAGAGGAAGGGAGAGAGAGAGAGAGAGAGAGAGAGAGAAACATCAATGATGAGAGAATCATTGTTTGGCTGCCTGCTGTACGCTGGGGTGGGGGAGGGGGCCCGCAAGCCCGCAACCTGGGCATGTGCCCTTGACCAGAATCAAACCCGAGACCCTCCATCCACTGAGCCACACCAGCTAGGGCACGACCATATCTTTATTGCTTGCTTATTGATGACAGGAAAAAAGTAGAAACATTACCTTTTACACATGAGTAAAATTGGCTAGTTTATAATCTCATTGGGTATGTAATACAAAAAGCTGATAAAAACTAGGCAGTACTTACTGTACATTAAAAATTATTTTCAAGTGGCAACATTTGGGTCCCTACTACACCTCAATTTTATTCTACCTCCCCCTATAATTTCTGAAGTTAAAAAAAAAAAAAAGAAACCCAATATAGAAGCAAGCATTAGAGCATTAGCTTGAGTGTCAACAAGTTGTTTACTAGGCACATGATGTAAAAACTTGGACACTTCCTCAAGCAACCCTGGTTCTTTGCCCAACCTCCTCTAATCCAGCCTCTCCGGCATTTTCCCGGGGCCAGCCTCCTCCTCCCCGCCGTCCCAATTCCTCACGGTCCTCCTCTGGGACGCCAGCTCCACTCCATCTCTCCCCACCCGGGGGGGCCGTCCCACTCCTGCACCCCAGCCTCCCCCAG